AGAAGCCCCAGCACATCTCCTTGCCTCTCACTGGCTCTGAGTAGGTTACATGCCCACCCCGAGCTAATCACTCTGGCCAGGAGAGTGAGCATTGCCTGGAAATCGGGGATGGAGCCGATTGCTGCTGAGGGAAAAAGTGCAGGGTGCTGGCTCCATTTTACCACACCTGTTGGATTCTGCGCTCCAACACCCCAATTACCCACATGGGGAAACTAAGGCAGCATGACTCTGAGACGTCCTCCTGGGCAGAACTTGGCCAGCACTTGGGATGCCAGGGCCCAGGGAAGAAGGTGGGAGAAGCTGAGTAGGGGGCTGGGTGATAGAATCACCTAGAGACTGCAAATTGCATCACAGATTTCACTTGGGGGAAGGTAGTAAGGGGAGGGGCGGCCAGCATTTGTTAGAATCTCTCCAGGTGATCCTAACGTGCAGCATGCAATCCACGCAGCAGGGAAGCTGAGGCCCAGCAGTGCCCGCAGCCCCTCGACCCTCACACCCAACCTCAGTTTCCCCTCTCTGCCACTGCTCCTCGCTTGCATCAAGATGCCCCTAGGGCAGAGGAGTGGGAAAACCAGCCCCACTTCTGGGGAGGGGGTCACTTCTAGGTTTGGCCCACACCAGAAAATCCCCTTTCAGGCATTTATGCTCCTTCCAATAACCCACACCCCCTCCCCCTGCCTCCTACCCTCGCCCTGAAAAAGACGAAGGAGCTCAAACAACAGGGAAGCTGGGTTTATTCCAATGATTCCAGTCTTGCCATCTGGGGACTGTCCAGAGGAAGGGGGTCCTGGTTATAAGTAACGCCCCTTGCCTCAGGGGCCCCCCCAGTCAACATCAGCCCAGGACCAGGCTGCACAACCCCAGCCAGTGAGGAGGGGGCCAGGCAGGAAACGTGAGGCTGGAGTGGGCCCGAGGCCTCAGATGTCCTCCCACCATAGACCTCCGCCAGACTGCAGGTCCTGGGATGGGGCTGGGGACGTGGGGGGTTGCAGGCCCTGGGCAGGCTGGAGCTCAGGTACATGCCACCTCGGCCCCCTGCCTGCACCCCGGGGGCTCCTCAGACTTGCTCGCCAAGCTGTAGTAATAGGTCCGCATGCACTGCTCCACGGTCTGGAAGTCCAGATGATCCTCCCACCTACGGTGGGGGGGAGATTGCAGATCCAGGCCACTGACCACACCCTTGAACCCAACTTCGGCTTGAGGGTGGGCATGCATGGGGCACGGTTGTGGTGGACTTTCAGGGCTCAGAAAGGTCAGTGGGGCTGCTGGGGTGATGGAATATGGTGAGTTGTTCTGGGAGTGAGAGTACTGGAATCCAGGTCTTGCTGTACCACCTAGGAGAGGTGGAGCTGCTGACATGCAATATGTTGGGATAACCACACATCCAGTGTTGACTGGTGTGGACTTAGGGAACTGAGTTCACTGGGAGCCAGAGAGACAACCATTGGCTGTGGGGTGACAGACGACTGAATGCTGAATTACTGAGTGTGTGCCGAGGGCCAGGGAATGAGTGTGCTAGGCTCAGGCTTACATGGGTGCAATTACGTGGCCCATAATCAAGCAGAAGGATAGTATTGTGGGTGGGTGTGGCCAGTGGGGAGTTGGGGTATTAGTTATACTATGTATGGGATATCCATATATTCTGTTGGGGTGTTAGATGCTGCCCTCTTGGAGTATTGAGGTGTTGGTGCACTGGGTGTTTCCTGATGGAGGCCAAGTTAATACATGTTGGAGCAGAATGGACTGACCAACGAGGGTGTCTATTTGCTTGACTGGTTGAGTATTTAGGTGTCAATGTCGTAAATGTTGGAATGTTCACACATTGCACTGTAGGGTGACAGCTTGTTTGGGTGTGTTGCCTGTTGTCTCATGGGAAGTTGGGATATTGATGGTGTTAGGAGTTGGGATGTTCACGTGCTGGGCTTCAAACAGACAGAGGCAAGGGGTTGAAGTATATTGAGTGCTTGGGTTCCTAGGTGCTGGCCTGTCTGGGTAATTAGGCGTTGAGTGTTGGTTGGTGGAGGACTGAGTTATTAGACACTGGAGAATTATCCCACGCCCTGAGTACTGGTGCTGTGTGTTGGGTCACAGAGCATGGACTTTGTCTGAGTATCGCAGGATCCATGTTTTGAGTGTTGGCTGGTGAAGGGCTGAGGTTTTAGATGCTGGAGCCCTGGGTGTCCACAGGCAGAGTGCTGGGGTGCTGGCCCACTGGAGCACCGTAAGGCCAGTTTCTCAGAGAGCTGAGTGTAGATCTAGGGGGAGTAAAGGTACTGAGTGTTGAAAAGGCCATGGACTGGATGAGGGTCTTTGGGTGGGATGACAATGGGTAGAGTTATGTTGACTCTGATCAGGCAACAGAACCTGCTGCCCCAGGCCCAGGTCTCAGTTTGGCTGGGTCCCTCCCCTCCCTGGCACTCACTTGTAGATCCAGCAGTTGCTCAAGAGTGTGTACATTTCAGGTGGACACTCTGGAGGGCACTCCATCCGCCTGCCCTGCTCAGTGAAGGCCATGACCTCGGGACCCTTCATTTACTGCTCCAACCAGGGCACGTGTGAGTAACCAGGGCCCCGTCACCCTCACCCCCACCTGCCACCTGCCCGCCTCTGCCCAAGCCTACCTTGTAGGGCTTCTGGCCATAGGAGAAGGCCTCCCACATGGTGACCCCGTAGCTCCAGATGTCACTGCGGCTGGAGAACGTGCGGAAGTTGATGCACTCGGGCACGTACCACTTGAGCGGCCACTTCCCCGCTGAGCGGGCCTGGGGAAGGGGAGATGCTGCCAGGGGAGGGCTCGGGGACCCTCTGCCCACCAAACCCACCCACCTGGGCACCCCAGGTGTGGGTGCTCACGGTGTAGTAGCTGTCGTCAGCACCCAGTGCCTTGGAGAGGCCAAAGTTGCTGATCTTGGCATAGTGCCGGGTGACCAGGAGGACGTTGCGGGCCACCAGGTCACGGTGCACAAAGTTCTTCTCCTCCAGGTACTTCATGCTCATGGACACGTGGTGCAGCAGCTCAGCCACGTTGCTGATGGGGACCTCCTCCCTGGGGTGGGGGGAAAGGCAGGGTCAGCTGGGAGAAGAAGCCCAAGTTCCCAGGGGACAAAGCCCACTTTCTGACCCAGCTGAGCGTGGGCCAGATTCCCATGTATTCCACAGACGCTTCCTGTGTGCCAGGCATGAGGCTGCAACTGTGAACAAAACAGGTAAAACTCCCTTTCTGACCCAGCTGAGCGTGGGCCAGATTCCCATGTGTTCCACAGACGCTTCCCGTGTGCCAGGCATGAGGCTGCAACTGTGAACAAGACAGGCAAAACCCCTCGTCCAGTCTCCAGGCCTTAAGTATCACCCGTGTGCTACGATTCCAACCCATACCTCTGCCTGCACCCTCGATGTGCCCTCGGGGGTCTCACGGACTTCTTAGGGATAATACAGCCAAAGCTGCCCCCCTGATCATTCACAGGCACACACGCCCACACACCGGCTCCTGCCCCCTGTCCCCCCAGCAGCTCCGTCCTTCTGTGGCATGCCCTCCCCTCCCCTCTCTCACATCTGATCCGTCAGCAGACCCTGGCAGCTCTGCCCGCAGAATCTCTCCAGAACCCCACTTTTCCCACCTCTGCTTCTGCCACCCTGATCCAGCCCCATCAACACTTGCCTGGACCAGGACAGGGGGCTCCACCCAGGCCTTGGGGCTCCCTCCTGGCTGCTTCCCAGTCTTTTTGTTTTTTAAAGCCTACAGCACCCAGTATTCCCAGGCAGTCTCCCATCCAAGTCCTAACCAGAGTCGACCCCACTTAGCTGCAGATCAGGGGAGATCAGGCGCGTTCAGGGTGCTGTGGCTGTACACTGCCTTCCAGTCTCGTCCTCCCCCCATCTGAGTCAGATCCTTCCCCTCTTCCCCACCCCTGCTCACAACCTCCCAGGGCTCCTGCCTCACTCAGGCTACAAGCCCAAGCCATCTTCACAGCCCACAGGCCCTGCACCATCTGCCCGATGACCTCCCAGCCCACATAAGCTCCCTCCCACCATTTCTCCACTGCACCAAGCACCGGCCCACCTCAGGGCTTTTGCACGGTCCGTGCCCTCTGCCTGGAAGGCTCTTCTCCCAGATCTGTGCTTGGCTGCCTCCTTCGGTTTGCTCAAACCTCACCTTCTCACTGTACCTCGTACCCTGACACTCCCAGCCCCCAACCTGTCCCTCTCGTTCTTCCACAGCACTCAGCCTCCAACACACTTTACACTTAATCATGACTATTCCTATGGCCTCTCCTCTCCAACCAGAACACAGGGCAGGGTCTTTGCCTCTTTTATTTGCTCATGAATCCCAAGTGCTTGTCACAGTTCCTGTCACCGAGAAACTGCCCGATAAATAACAACCAAGTGACTGAATGCATGAGCCAGGGACATGCTGTGAAGGCATGTGCACCAGTGAGAGCATGGGTCGGCGAAAATGTGCACTGGGGGCGTAAGAACTCGTGTCTGTGAGGCTAAGAGTGTGGGGCATGAGGCACATGAAATGGCAACATTTCTCAGTAAAGGGCTGAAGATAAATATTTCAGCCTTTCCAGGCCACATGTGGTCTCTGCCACATATTCTTGTTTTTCTTTTCTTTTAACTTTTAAAAAATGAAAAATAACATGTTACAAAAACAAGCCGTGGGGCTGGGCCCGCCTGGTGGTGCACTGCTACAGTGCGCCGCTTGGGAGAGCAGTGGCGCTCCCGCCGAGGGTTCGGATCCCACATACAGACCGGTTCCCGCTCACTGGCTGAGCGAGGTGCGGGAGCAACGCCGAGGGTTGCGATCCTGTTGCCAATCCCGTTGCCGGTCCCGGTCCAGTACGGGCACGACACTGAGGGTTGCGATCCGTTGCCGGACACACACACACAAAAAAAAACAAGCCGTGGGCTGCAGTGTGCTGCACCTGCTTTAGGTCACAGACAATCGACTATCGGCCATCTCCCACGGGTCACGAATTGGGCCCACAGAGTCTGGGTCGCAGTGACAGAGCTAATCCTTCTAAAGCTCTTACTAGCCCTGCCAGATGCACTTGATCAGTATCAACTCGTTTGATCCTCAAGAGCCCCTTGAGGTAGATACCGTTGCTGTGGTACCCAGGGGAGACTCAGGGTGCGCAGCTCTGCCTTGCAGGTGCAGGTGTGGATGTCGGGGTGTGGGACAATGAGTGTGTGCACTCACGGATGTGTGCACACGGGAACGCGGGAACGCACGTTCCCCATGTGAGTGCAAGTGTGTCCGCCCTGCCCTGGACGCTCCACTGGGTGGACAGGGCAAGCCCCCAGCCCTCTGGCCCCCCCAGTCCCGATGGCCCGGTGCCCAGGAGCTCACTTCTTTCCAACCAGGAACTTGTGCAGGGGTCCGCCACCCGCCATCTCCATGACGAGCATGAGGGCTTCTGCCTGGCAGACACCGATGAGCCACACGAGGTAGGGGTTGTCCAGCTGGTGCGTGATCTGCGCCTCCCGCATCATCTCGTCTTTGTCCGCCTTCTCTGTGCTGTGCTTCAGAACCTTGATGGCCACCATGATCTGCTTCCTGCCCCAGTGCACGGCATGTGGGTGGGTGGGGGAGCAGTGCGGGCTACTGGGGTGCCCATTCCCACCCCCGTCTCTCTTCTCCCCTGCCCTGTGTGGTGGGCACTGGGGCTTGCCACCCACATCAGGGCCAAGGCACTCAGTCCTCCAGCTGCCGGGAGTGTCCGCTGAGGACAGCTCACAGCCGAGTCCCTTGCCTGGAACTGCCTGTCTCACCCAAAGTTATGCCCTCCCCAGGAGCAGCCTGTATCCAATGACCAGTCCATGCAGGGGACAAATGGCCCATCTGTGGCCCCCTTGGGATGGACAACTGCAGCTGAGCCCAACCTCCCCTTGGCCCAGGCCCACGTCTCTCCCTCCCTCTCAGGTGTCCCCAAGCTCTCTCAGGTAATCCTCCAGCAGGCAATGTCCTGTCCTAGACTCTGTTTCCCAGGCAAACTGATGTGAAACAGACAGACCTTCCAGCTCCCATCCCCCAAACCCCCACATAATGGTGTCCCCACCACAGCACACGGTCATACTTGCGCATGCGGTAGACACCCTGGCGCACTGAGCCAAAGTTGCCACAGCCAAGTTCAATGTCAGCTATGAGGAGGTTCTCATGCTTCAGGAAGAGCTTCTTGTCCTTGAGCTCCTCAGGGTCACTGTAGGGGCTCTCGTACATGCTTGTGTCCATGGGCATCGCCTGCAGCTTGTCTGGGGATTCTAGATGTGCTGGGCACACACACAGCCGCGCACTCCTAGGTCAGGAGCAGGGAGAGGGCAGGCGGGGGGGAGGGGGAAGGGCAGGACAGTCTCAGCTCCCACAGGGCAAGTACCCCAGACAAAGGTGTGCCCCCAGAGCATGCACAGGCACGAGGGTGCACATGTATGTTCACGTGCATGCATTCCCGGTCATAGCTGTGGGTGCCTGTGAAGCCATGTACAAGTGGACTGTAGAAGAGTGTGAATCTGTGTGCATGTGTCACCATTAGTGAGCCAGCTGGAGCATGGAAGTGTGAGCATTCACATGTGTACACCCGTGTCCAGGCCTGCCTATGTCTACATGTGCACCACACAGCCATGTTTAGGAGGCCTCCAAAGGTGAGCATGTGGGTGCACGTGTAACCATGTGTGTTCTTCTCTGTGCACACATGTGGACAGGTCTGCATCTACATGTGAAACACATGAGCACCTGCAGCTTTAGGAACATGTCCATCTGGGTTCAAATCCCGCTCTGCCACTGCCTAGCTGCAGGACCTTACAAAGTTCCCTGCTCTCCCTTTCTCCTCTGCAAAATGAAAATAATGACCATAACTACTTCATATGGTGTATTAGGAGGATTCAGTGAGCTCATGCACATGGTGACCTTGGAATGTGACTGACACACAGTAGACACTCAGCAAACCTGTGCCTGTGCACGGGGAGCCCCCGATGTGGCTGGGAGCAGTCCCCTGAGTGCAGCAGGATGGACATGCACACAGGCAGGCCTGATGGTGTGGCCATGGCGTGAGCACAGGGTAAACCAATGCAACCGCTGTAGGCTGGGCCTGGCCCACACCCTCCCTGCCAAACCGCACAGCCCAGCCAGGGACCCTGCTCTTGGCCTGAGCCCACACACACCTCCATCTCTGCCGGCTCACCTGGTTCAGGGGTGTATCCATCTGAGTTGAGGGTGTCGATCCGTCTCCGAGTCTATAGGTCACAGGGTCAGCAATGGTCAGCAGCGCCCGAGCTGGGGGCACCCAGCCCCTCTCATGAGACCCATATCCACTCAGGACTCCCCAGAGTCAGTGCTGAGGAAGACCCTCTTCCCCTCCACAGGGACCCCTTCCTCCATCCCAGCCTCCCCCAGGAGCCCACCCACCCAGCTCCATGCCTGGGTCCCCAGCTCTGAAATGCCACTGACTCATGTGGGTGAACGTGGAGGGGTGGGCTGGGAGTGTGGGAGCAGCGGCCCCTGGGGGAGCAGAAGGGACAGTGAGAGGGTGGGGGATGGGGCTCCTGCCCCTCAGCCCAGCCTGCGGCCACTCACCCAAAGCAGCACTGGTGCTTGTGTTAGGGCAGGCCTCCTTCAGGCAGTAGATGAGCCCATCGGCCTTGAGCTTCAGATACTCCACCAGCTGCAGAGAGGGGAGTCAGGGCAGGGCCTCCTCTCCTCCCCGGAGCCTGGGCGTCCATCACAGCGCTGCCCCCAGAATGAGGTGTGTGGGCAGCCTACCTGCCAGAGTGTGTCAAACTTGGTGCCCTCGGGAATGCAGTATTTGCCCGCCTTGTCCTGGCTGATGAGGTAGTGGTTCACGGTTTTCCCGTAGATCAGGGACAGTGCATACGTGCCCTGCTCCTTCCGGGGCCTCAGCCTGGGGAGGCAGAAAGGAAATGTCACCCCTACAGCCACCTGGGTGCCCTCCTACTGTGCTCAGTGCCCTTTCTCCTCTGCAAAATGAAAATAATGACCATAACTACTGCATATGGTGTATCGGGAGGTTTCAGTGAGCTCATGCACATGGTGACCTTGGAATGTGACTGACACACAGTAGACACTCAGCAAACCTGTGCCTGTGCACGGGGAGCCCCCGATGTGGCTGGGAGCAGTCCCCTGAGTGCAGCAGGATGGACATGCACACAGACAGGCCTGATGGTGTGGCCATGGCGTGAGCACAGGGTAAACCAATGCAACCGCTGTAGGCTGGGCCTGGCCCACACCCTCCCTGCCAAACCGCACAGCCCAGCCAGAGACCTTGCTCTCGGCCTGAGCCCACACACACCTCCATCTCTGCCGGCTCACCTGGTTCAGGGGTGTATCCATCTGAGTTGAGGGTGTCGATCCGTCTCCGAGTCTATAGGTCACAGGGTCAGCAATGGTCAGCAGCGCCTGAGCTGGGGGCACCCAGCCCCTCTCATGAGACCCATATCCACTCAGGACTCCCCAGAGTCAGTGCTGAGGAAGACCCTCTTCCCCTCCACAGGGACCCCTTCCTCCATCCCAGCCTCCCCAGGAGCCCACCCACCCAGCTCCATGCCTGGGTCCCCAGCTCTGAGATGCCAGTGACTCACGTGGGTGAACGTGGAGGGGTGGGTGGGAGTGTGGAAGCAGCGGCCCCTGGGGGAGCAGAAGGGACAGTGAGGGGGTGGGGGATGGGGCTCCTGCCCCCCAGCCCAGCCTGCGGCCACTCACCCGAGACAGTGCTGGCACTGGTGTTGGGGCAGGCCTCCTTCAGGCAGTAGATGAGCCCATCGGCCTTGAGCTTCAGATACTCCACCAGCTGCAGAGAGGGGAGTCAGGGCAGGGCCTCCTCTCCTCCCCGGAGCCTGGGCGTCCATCACAGCGCTGCCCCCAGAATGAGGTGTGTGGGCAGCCTACCTGCCAGAGTGTGTCAAACTTGGCACCCTCGGGAATGCAGTATTTGCCCGCCTTGTCCTGGCTGATGAGGTAGTGGTTCACGGTTTTCCCGTAGATCAGGGACAGTGCATACGTGCCCTGCTCCTTCCGGGGCCTCAGCCTGGGGAGGCAGGAAGGAAATGTCACCCCTACAGCCACCTGGGTGCCCTCCTACTGTGCTCAGTGCACCCCCCACCACACATGCTATGGACTGCACTCGCCAGAGCCTCATGGAGAGATGCCAGGGACTGGGGAAGTTGAGGCCAGATTCAGCTCAATCTCCAGACCGGCTAGTAACAGGCCACAGAGGGAGGAAAAGAGAGAAGGGAATGGCCATGTTCACAGGGGAACACACAGTCATTCAAGGGCAGATACGCAGCAAGTCACAGGACCACCCGTGTGGACACTCAGCCCTGCATGGCCAGGCAGTCAACCACCCGTGGCTGGATGCTTGGCCATGGAGGTGGGGTGTACATCCACCCACAGGGGGACACCTGGCCCTCCACAGCTGAATAGTTGGCCACCTATGGCCAGACACTTGCCATCCACAGGTGCACTCAGCCATCAGGGGATACACTCAGCCATCAATAGCAGACACAGAGCCCCTCACAAGGGGACACACAGCCTTCAACAGGTAGACTTAGAAACATTCTCTTAACACCCCCCTCCCTCAACCAGGCTCACCACATCAGTGCCTTGGGGCCCACCCAGGGACCCAGGGCATGGAGAAGGGGACTGGACATCCCTCCCACAACCAGGCACACTGTGCCAGCACCTCAGGACCCACTCCGGGACCTGGGGTATGGAGCTGGGGATCGGACATTCTCTACAACCAGGCACACCGCCAGCGCCAAGGAGCATGCCAAAAACATCTTCTCCATGTGGGTGGCCCACCACAGCCACCATGATAACCATGGCTGCCGTGAAGGTGGCTAGATGCCAGAACCACAACGCAGATTGTCCGCCAGCCACTGGAGTGTCACCAGCAGAGTGACACTCCACAGTCTCACACAAGGAGAGTCACCAGCAGAGATAAAGAAAGAAGGAGGACGTCTGTCTCCACAGAGCCCATTTCAGAGTGACAGAAGAGGCGTCTGCTCTATGAGAGTATCGGGGGACCTGATCACACCTCTCAGCATTGGACAGATCATTTGGGCAGCAGATCAACAGAGTAACCATTATTCTTTCACAGGGTGAGAAGAAATCTAGGGTGATTAGAGGGGGCAGGGGGAGAGGAAGGGGGATGGGGCGGGATTGGACAAAAGGCATAAATAATAATTACGATTCGTAACAATATGTACGCTAGTAATATTGATTTGATCAACATATCTCAATGTTGAACCCCCAAAATTTGTATAATCAATTTTGATTCAATAAAAATTTAAAAATAAATAAATAAATAAAAGAAACATTCTCCTGGGGAGAGAAAGCCATTTCCACACAAAGACCTACACAGGTAACACAACTCTATGACTAGCTCACAGGGCACCTTTGTGCAAATCAGAACAGGTCACCTTGTCATCACAAAGGACTGACATTTAATTGAAAGGGTCCCTTGACTGCCCTCTGCTGGAAATTTGTCAATAGCACCTTCCAGCCCGGCCCCGAGCGCATCCCCAGCTTGCAGCTGCAGGACACGGCAGCCCACCATCCCCGTCGGCCGCCCTCACCTCCAGCTTCCACGTCTGGCGCACGTAGTCGCGCACCATGGCGTCGCGCAGGCCGTCGAAGACCCCGGGCTGCGGCTCCAGGCCGGCCGGTTGCACGGCTTGCGCAGGTTGCACGGCAGCCCGTCGGGGTCGCGCGAGTGGAACTCGCAGAGCTTGGCGGGGCCACAGTGTGCCTTCCCGCCGGTGATGGCGTAGGTGCCGTTGAGCTGGCGCTCGACGGGGAAGTGGTCGTCGTGCACCCTCGACAGGTACTGTGGAGACACTGCAATGAATCAGATATCTTGAAAGTTGCCCTCCAGGGGAAAAAAAATAGCATTTTGTATTTATGAATATTCATAAACCCATAACAGCCCCTCATGGTGGGTAGATCAAGGAGCATTCCTCAGTTTGGGCAGATGTCACTGTGGCTCAGAGAGGTTCTGTAGCAGATTTAGGGGTACCCAGTGAACTAGGGATGGACCTAGAACTCGGACTTAAGTCCACAAAAACAAGGTCAGGCCCTGGAGCTTAAGGAAGCCTCAGTTTTCTGCTTCTGAGCGCAGCACTTTCTACCTCCCCTCGATACATCGGGTTGACAGGCTGTGCACAGGATGGGCTGGAGAGGCTGTACTGTGCCGGGCAGGGAGACATTCTGATCTGTCTCCCCTCAGGGCAGTTCTGTGCTGGGGCAGCAACTGCAGGAGGAGGCCCAAGGACTCAGAAACCTCTATCAAGAGAAGGTCATGTCCCAGCAGGACCTCGTGGTAAGTTTGGGGGAGCAGGGAGCCTAGGGCTTGAGGTAGAGGAGAGGTGGAGAAGGGGCTGCAAAAGAGGAGGCCGGCGCCTGGAAGCTGTCCCCTCCCCCCCAACCCCTTCCCCTAACCAGCCCCGATCTCTTCTCCACAGGCGAAGCTCAACCTCAGTGTCAGGGCCCTGATGTCCTCTGCCCCAAAGCTCCATTGGCTTCTGGGGGTGGGGAGGGGAGGGTGGAGCAAGTGGCAGCAGAGGGAGAAAGGAAGGGGGACCCACCTGGCTTGGGACCTGCTGGAGGTTGGGGGTGGAGGTGGGAAGGAGATGGGTGTGGGTGGACAGATCCTTGGGGACCCATCTTTGGCCTCTGTGTCCTCAGGGCTGACCCCCTTCCCCGCCAGGAGGAGTGTGTTGTGTGTTATGTGGTGAATGAATGAATGGATGAGTGAACGCGTGAGCAGGGCACTGAGCTGAGGCCTCTTCTCCAGCTGGAGACCTCAGGCGTCCTGGGCAATATCACTCACCTAAAAGGAGAGCTGCCTGCCTGGGCCACCCGCATCGTGAGGAATGTGAGTGGCAGAAGGGGGGCTTCCGCCTCAGGCTTCCCCTTCAGCCCTGTCCCCTCATCGTGGCTCCCAGGGAAGCTTGGCCTGTCCTGTTGCTGCCTGGCATGGAGGGTGGGGTGGGGGCGGAGGAGGCTGCAGGCTCCTGGGGCCCGTGCCAGCCGAGGCTCCTCTCTCTCCTGCAGGTAAGCGAGTGTGTCCTGAGCCGGGAGATGGGCTACTTCTCCCAGTACGTGGCCTGGGTGAGAGAGGAGGTGAGTGGGGACCCAGACCTGCCTGGCCTCAGAGCAACTGCCGGTTACCCCAGTGGACCAGCTCTTCACATGTTCTGCCCGTTCCTCATCCCCAAGAGCTCCTTGTGGGTTCCCCAGGCCTTCAGGATTGAACCCAGACTCCCACGCCTGGCAACCATATCCCTGTTCTGTGGCTGGGCTCTGCCTGCCCCACCTCTGTCGCAACCCTTCTCTGAGGCCTGAATGTGAGCTGCGGTGGCCGTAGTTCCCTAGAACACGCCGTCCACCTCTTGCCCCCATGCCCTTTTTGGGCCATCCCCTCACCCAGCTTGTCTAAGGCCAGCCCTCCGAGCCCACCTCCCTTGCTGGCCACAGCCTCTGCCAGCTCTCTGGGCAACTGCACCAGGCCGGCAGGGGTCCAGTTTAACAACGAGTGTCTGTGCGTGTGTGAGTGTGTGAACAGGTGTGTGTGCAGACATGCATGTGTGTGCACACGTGTGTTCATATATGCACACATGTTGCTGCTCAGTGGTAGTGTGACTTAAAGCGCAGCACTGGGTACACAGTAGGGCCTTGATACAGGCTGGTGAATAGGAGAAAAGGAGCTGAGTAAGGGGCCTGTGCAAGGGAGTCCCCATTTCTGTGGGCCCGTATCCCTGTGTCTGAGTAAAAGTGCGTGGTGGCCCCAGCTGTGTCCCTGTAAGCCTGTCTCTCTGAATACGGGGTGTACCCTGCAGGCCTGGGCTTCTCCACATGTGCCTGCCTCACATTGGCACCACAGGTGACTGAGCGCATCGCCACCTGCCAGCCCCTCTCTGGAGCCCTGGACAATGGCCGTGTGATCCTGTGTGACATGATGGCTGACCCCTGGGTGAGTGCCCCCTGCTCATCAGGGCTCAGGGACATGGAGGCCGCATGGGAGGGGTAGAGTGAGCAGGTGTGAGGCGAAGCACGGCCCCTGCCCCAGCCCCGCACCCCAGGCCTTCCCTCAGCTGCAGCAGCCAACGCCTCCTGTGGCCCTCGCTGAGTCGGTGGTGGGGTGGAGGGTGCAGAGCGGGGGGGAAGCTGACCTCACACCCCGCTTTTAGAACGCCTTCTGGTTCTGCCTGGGCTGGTGCACCTTCTTCCTGATCCCATCCGGAAACGCCTCAGGTGAGGTACTGCCAGGGCTGCGGGGAGCATCGGGGCCTGGGGAGGTGTCCTTCCAGCCACCGGGCCCGGCCCCCTGCCACAGCCCCTCCTCCAGGCAGAGGAGGCTCAGGGCCTCGCCCTGAAGAGCCGCACACTCTGAGGAGCTCCAGGGCCAGGAAGCTCTCCCACATGTCTGCCCCAGTCCTTCTTGCTGCAGAACATCCCTGTCCCCTGGGGGGCTTCTGAGGTGGGAGCATCAGGGCTCCGGGTTTGTTCCTGTGTTGGGGCTGAGAGTCTGTGCCGTGGGCTCACTGGCTTTTGTCCTGTGATGTTGCAGCTCCAGCGGCTCTGAGGAGACTCAGCTCTTCCACATCCCCCGGGTCACCTCCGTGAAGCTGTAGGGTCCAGTGGGTGAGTTTCCCACCTTCGTAATTCCTCAGTGCTGGGAGATTGAGGGGGTGGGGAGGGAAAGGGCTGGGATTGGGGGTTTTCAGGGCCCAGGAGGGCAGGCAGGTTTGAGGGGACCTGGCGAGGTCTGGGTTCTAGGAGCAGCCCGTCCAGCAGTGGCACTGGCAGGTGGAGCCCAGCTCTCTCCTCCCTCCGCCTCACCTGCTTTGTTTTGAATCCCTAACAGGGCAAGGTGAACCCTGGGGCTGTCTGTCCTCCCCCGACTCAGCCTGAGGATTTCTGTAGCTCTTGCCTCAGAGCCAGGCTGGCGTCCAGGACTGGATCGTCCCCTGACTTCATCTTACCTGGCCCCATCTTGCCCATTCCCTTCTCACCCCCTTTCCACTCATGCCCCACCCACCCTTCATTCCTTCTCCAAACCATACTTCTGTTGTGCTGCAGGGCCAACAGGTTCCTCTAGGTGTCCAGCCCTTACCCTCCTGCTGTGATCCATCAGCAGGAGGAAGAGCTTGTTCTCCCTTGGGTGGGACAGAGGCCCTGTCCAACCCTGCTCTGTCCCCATCTGCCCTGCCCCTGTTCCCGCCTCCCTCTGCCCCTCTCCAAGCTCGTTGCTCCCGTCCTCATCCAGCCCCCGACTGGCTACAATTTCTCTCCTATACCCTCCCCAGCCCTTTGCTTTCTTCCTCCCTGGAAGTCCTTTTCCCCCTTGTCTCCTCTTTACCTCATCCCCAATGCTACCTTGCTGGCCCCCAGGAACCCCACCTGCCCAACCAAACTAATTAGGGAAAGCCACCAAGCAGGCAGAGGCCACCATGGCCCATGTCTGGGCTGCCTGCGGGCTCTGTCTCATGGCCCCAGCCCTTCACTGCCCCAAGGCGTGGACCCTCCACAAGCCCCAGCGTGGATTTGTTGGCCCCCAGTGGGGTGAGGAAGGCCTGTCTGAAGGCTGAGCCTTCCTGTCTGCCTGTCCTCGGGATAGAAATGGCAGTGCTGGCCCTCAGCTCCTCTCTGATCACTGGCTCCCAAGGGAAGGACTTGGGACCTGGGCCATAGGGGCCCCTACCCAGCTTTCTCAGGAGGGAACTGGGGGCCAGAACAGGATTGGGGCCCCACCTGCCCAACCAAACTAATCAGGGAAAGCCACCAAGCAGGCAGAGGCCACCATGGCCCATGTCTGGGCTGCCTGCGGGCTGTGTCTCATGGCCCCAGCCCTTCACTGCCCCAAGGCGTGGACCCTCCACAAGCCCCAGCGTGGATTTGTTGGCCCCCGGTGGGGTGAGGAAGGCCTGTCTGAAGGCTGAGCCTTCCTGTCTGCCTGTACTCGGGTTAGAAATGGCAGTGCTGGCCCTCAGCTCCTCTCTGACCACTGGCTCCCAAGGGAAGGACTTGGGACCTGGGCCATAGTGGCCCCTACCCAGCTATCTCAGGAGGGAACTGGTGGCCAGAACAGGATTTTGCACTATTCTTTCTATCCTGTGCATGTGGCCTAGGGTCCTCCCTAGCCTATCTCTGTGTCATTCCCTGCATACTGGACCCTGAGTTCTGGAAATGAAGGAGAGGAAGGGAAGAGAGACCTCAGATCCGTTCAAGTCTTCTCACTTCCCTAAGCCTTGGCCTTGGGTCCTTTATACCTGGTCTCCCAGCCTGGGGCCCTGTACACAGTTGGTTTTAATGAGTGTTTTTTGGAGAGAATTCCAAGGCCTCCTCTGACTCCAGGCATCGCAGGGATTTTCCAGCAGCCAGCAGATGCCGAGTGGGGCCCGTCTGGGAGCATGCCGCCAGGAGCAGGCAGACCCGGATTCACAGCCTGGCTCTGACGCTTGTTAGCTGGGGCACCTTGAACGTGTTACGTGGGTTCCCTAAACCTCAGCTTCTTCATTTATAAGAGGGGGGGAATAGTCATAGCCTGCTATAGGTTGTGACAAAGCATGGGAAGTCCTTGGCAGGGGCCTGGCAGAGAACAAACGCTCGGCTGATGGGAGCTATAATCTATGCCATCATTGTCTGGGCCAGGGACAGAGCTGAGTCTGGGCAGGCACAAGCGAAGTGGGAGACGGATCCTTGTTCAAAGGCAGAAAGCACTTTAAGATTCTGGTCTGCTGGATCTCAGGGAGTGTCTATGCTTAATTGCACCTTCTAAGCCAGCAACAAATTTTCTCCTAGGATCAGAAATGGTGCACATGCAATGTATTGTCACTGCTGCAAGCACATTCTCAAACAAGTGTCTTTGAATGCAAAACACTTGCCTCCTTTTGTCTCTTCCAGAGGTTTCTTTGCTTGTTACTCATCTGTTGACTTGTGCAGGGAAAGTAGCACCCTGCATTTTAAATTGCAATTGATGAGATTAAAATGAATGAAACTGAAACAATGAAAAAAATCATTTCCAGTTCTCTATCAAAGTTGCCTATCTCATCTTTTATATATTTGAGCATATTAAACACAGTTATTTTAAAGTTCAGTAACTCCCTTCTATGGAGTCCCCATGAATCCTTTTCTAGTGTCTGTTGTTTCTCTTGGTTATGTTTATTAGTTCTGTCTCGTCCCCTCACATACCTGGTTATTTTTGATTGAGTACCACGTATTGTATCAGAAAACCTGGAGAAATAACTTGAGGCCTAGGATGAACTTATCTTCCTCTGTGAGGATTATGTTTACATGCAGCAGGTGCTTGGGATCTAGCACACTAGGATCACTTTAATCCACTTGCAGGAAATGAGATGATTTGCAGTGACTTGAGGGCTGATCTACCTCTGATTCATTCATACTCCTAGGGCGAAGCCCTCTGGGGTCCAAACACAAAGCATGAAAGATTTGCCAGGCACACCCTCCTCTTGGTGGACCTAGTTTTTAGCCCCACAAGTTGTTGAAAGCCCTGCTCAGCATCTTTACAGTGTCTTCCAGAACCAGCAGACCCTCTAGGGAGAAAGTAGCCCCAGAAGCCAGGCACATGTTTCTGGGTTTCCTTCTTTCCCAGATCTTGGCCTGTGATTCCTCACTGCCTTGTTTGCTTCCTGATACCCTCAGTCAGACTGAAATATATATATATTTTAAATAAATATATGTCACTTAAAAAGCTGCTCAGAATGAATGTATGTGTACACACGCACACACACACGCACATACACACACACGTTTGAGCAGCTTTTTAAGTTGTCCTCAGCTAGGAATTTGGTCCAAATGATCTGGTCCATGATTGTCAGAAGTAGTGGTCCTAAAAAATTGACTTTGATGTTCCCCACCCCTGTGAATGGGAAAAGGCTGCCACTTTTGGAATTTAGTATCCAGGAATGTTGGCCCAGCCAATTGAACACTGGCTTTGCAAAGGAGGTTCGTTTGGAGAGCATCACTGTGGGCACTGGTGACCTGGGGAGGGGGTGGCACTCGGCAGTTGATAAAGAAACAGAAATAGCCACAGAGAAAAACAGATTGCCTCTTTCTCTGTTTTTTTTTTTTGTCTTTTTGTCTTTTTCCGTGTCCGGCAACGGATCGCAACACTCAGTGTTGCCCCCACGCCTCGCTCAGCCAGTGAGCGGGAACCGGTCTGTATGTGGGATCCGAACCCTCGGGCGGGAGCGCTGCCGCGCTTCCCAAGCAGCGCACTTATCCAGTGCGCCACCGGGCCGGCCCTCTTTCTCTGGTTTTAAAATCCTGGAATTCTAAAATGCTAATGCTGCTGTATATGTGAAGCAGAGCCCCTTCAAGGTCACAATCTCAGCCGTCTCTGAAGGGGGTGAATTATCATCTGTGGTTAAGCAGATGAAGTTCCAGGAAGTTACACGGCAGGTTCAAGGTCTCATAAGTTGCAGCCCCGCCAGGCTTTGGATTCAGGTCCCCTGGTCCTAGTGGCACTGAAGGTTTCCTCCTGGAGGCACTGCCAGTCCCCGTTCGCTGTGCGTGTGTGGGAGCAGGCCCTGTCTCCAAGGAGATTTGAACCAAGTGTCCTTGCTGTCCCTGTGGCAGGAGAAGTGACAGATTGGGGGTCCTGGGAGTTGTACCAGATGCTCCAGACTTGCCACCCAGCAGAAGTCCCCATGGAAAATTCTGCCAAAGAGATGCCAGATGGGCCAAGGCATCCGAGGTCTCAGGTTACTGGCCAGGGCAGCTCCAGCTGGCTGAGTTGTGCTAAGGGAGGGTCGCCTGGTGGGTGAGAGCCTGCCCATGCTACCCGAAGGGACAAGCAGTGTGAGTTAACATTTATTTATCGAGCTATGAGTATCAACCAGGAAGCGGGTTAAACACTTTACAAGGATCAACCGAGAGACAGGACTTGTTGCTTATCTACCTGATGGCTGAGAAACTAGGACGCAGAGACTGGGTGTGGGCTGCATAGCAAAGGCAATACTTACCCGAAGGAATCAATGTATGATGGTGGCATTTCAGGACATAACTGAGTTCTCTGGAGTCAGCCTGAGGCCCTGTGCTGGGTGGTGGTGGCCAGTGTCCCTCCCCACCCTCTGGGCCTCCCATCTTACCTCCTAGCACCCTGTCTCTCTGAGCCTAAATGCCAGGGACCAAACCACGAGGCTGGCAGCCAGCCTGGTCCACACCACGGGCCTCTTCTCCATGGGCCCAAATCCTTCCTTGCACTTTCTGGACAAGCGTGGAGCAG